AAAGCTTTATAGAAATCCAAAAAAAGAATGAAACTATTATCCGTGATTAAATCTGAATAATCTAAAATATCAATTACCAGTCTTATATTGTTAGTTATGTGTTTACCAGTCATGAAACCAGACTGTGTTTCATCAATGATATCATTCAGTGCACATTTTAACTTTTTAGCCAAACACATAGCAATTATTTTATAATCGTTATTCAGCAGTGAAATAGGTCTCCAATTTTCTATCGAAAGGATGTCTTTTTGAGGTTTTGGAATCAAAGTAATTAGCCCCTGAGTCAAAGAAGGAGGCAGCTTGTTATTATCAATGCTTTCAATATATACTTTAGAGCTGAAACAACTAATCGATTTAATCGATTATAATCGATTATTAAAATAGTTAACAACTTTTTTAGTCATCGATTAGTTGTTTAATAATCATATTTTACCGCATAAAATCTATTTTTACCACAATCTGACATCGGTTACAAGCTGTTAAATTTGCCGCCAGTGTGTGGCAGTAATGAGCCACTGATCTACCAGTGGAGCCGTAGAAGAAGAAATGAGCCAATGGGTGCCCTCGGTTTTCATGACGTATCACGTTACTGACGCTCATCTTGCTGTGAGAAAATGGCGGAACAAGAGGAAATACGGAAGAAAAATAGAAGCGACAAAACTGAAGAGAAACCCCGGACAAAAACCTCACGAGTATGGGAGCACATTTGAGACGAAAGCATGTGGGGGCTGATGCAGCAGAGGAAGAGCACCGCGGTCAAGTGAGCCGTCATTTGGAAGAGCCAGCCCGGTAAGTAACAGAAAATAAACAAGCTGGACTTAGTGTTTTAGCTGAGTTCGTTATAGTGGATGTTAAACATGTTTTTTTGCCGCGTCAGTCTACGGTGTTCTACTTCTGATTGACTAGATGCAATCGTGAATCTCCTCCGTGTTGTGTATCATGCGCTTGCCAAATTTAGCACGTCTGTTTATAAGAATGTTCTCGTTAAGAGAAAAACGGCACAAACCCATAACTATGTTCCTCATTCAAAAAAGGACAACTCCGCGGAGAAAAATATACAGACAAGCTGTGTCCAGGTGAATATAACGCGGCATAGTTGTACACTTTCAATTTTTAAATACAGGAGAAATTCAGAAAAAGTCATTTTTTTACTATTAAAAGGCTGTTTTACTATCTAACGCTGTAAAACGCCTCACAACACATTTTTATCATGTTTCTTAAACAGTATTACACAAAATAAACATTTTTCACATTTCTCTGGCTAATTTAAACACTCCCGACTCAAAGTAAAAACCTCATGAGCTTCTTACTTAGAGCTTTTTAATAGTAAAAATGTTTTACTTTTTTTCTGAATATCTCCTGTTGCGGGCTATTTTGTAGAACGTAACCCTCAAAATAAATGATCACTGTATATTGTTAATTAATTCAAATAATATAATATTGATTTAGTGTTGTAGTGTGTGTGCTGCTTTATTTTATATGTGTACTTATTTCAGTCTATTTGTGTTTCTTATGCAGAAAAAAACAAGCAACGATGGACAACTACATGGGGAAGAAGACACTCACCCCCCAGCAATTCATACCACTTACAAACTCTATTCTAAACATGCTGGTAAAAGACATGAGGCCACTATCCATGGTGGAAGGAGCAGGCTTCCAGCTAATGCTAAAAATTATTCTGGACTGATATTTTGCACTGTTTAGCTCATTTTATACTGCTGACTGTGTTCATGTGCAATAAAATAGATTGCAGTCAACTGCACAATTCTCTTATGTTTTTTTGTTCTTAACTGAAATGCATCCATCACTTGTATAGGTTAAATGGCTAAACAATAACAAACCGATTAATCGAAAAAATAATCGACAGATTAATCGATTATGAAAATAATCGTTAGTTGCAGCCCTAATATACTTTATGTAAAAAGCACGACAGATCCTTTGAAAATAATTTGTAAAATTCCGAAGTCAAACCATCATTCCCTGGACTCTTATTAAGCTTCATTTTATTAATAGCCTCTTCAATGTCTAGTATTGTGATGGGGGAATCACAAATGGCTTTATTATTGTCACTAATAGTCTTAATATTACTTAAGGAGTTAAAAAAAATTTCCATGGCTTCTGTAGAAAGATTAGATTTATATAAATGTTTATAGAAAAGTTCACAAGTCTTGGAAATCACTTGAGGGTCTTGTGTGATGATCCCGTCTGTACGAAGTTTAGTCATGCTGGCAAGAGCATTATGGTGTTTTTCTAATTTGAAAAAATAGCTAGAGTTTTGTTCTCCCTCTTCAAGCCATTTCCTTCTTGACCGCACAAAGGCACCTTTTGCCTTGTAAATATATATATTATCTAATTTTAATTGTAGAATTTGAAGTCTGTTCCGGTTATCTTCCGATAAATTATCAGGTGATCTAGACAAGGTAATAATTTCAGAAATTATTTCTGACACTTCTTTTTTTTTTATTTTTAACTGTTTCAGCTCCCCTTTTCATTAAAAGGGACCTCAATTCAAATTTCATAAGCTCCCAATTTTTACAAAAAGTATTTTCAACACATGCCTTGTTCCAAAACTCATCTATTTTTGTTTTAATTTCCTTTACCAAAGAATCATTCAGTAGAAGAGAATTATTTAATTTCCAATATGAATTCACTCTTTTAGATGGTTTTCTAGCACACAAACATATCTCCAGAAAAATTGTTTTATGATCTGTCAAGGGTGTTGGCAACATTTTTGATGTAGAAACATATTCGGATAAAGGATCAGAAATTAGCCAATAATCAATACGAGACTGTAAGGAGCCAGATCTATTTTTCCATGAAAATTCCTTAATTGTTGGATTTTTGATTCTCCAGATATCAATTAGGTCTCTTTCATTTATAAAATCCAACATGTAATTACTACTCTCCTGACTTTTACTTGGCCATCTGTCTATCATGTCATTGAGTGAATGATTCCAGTCTCCTCCTAATATAATCTTTAGATTAGCAAATTTACTTATTAAAGACTCAATTTTTTCATTTATAACAAGTATTAGGTCAATATTCTCCTGTTTGTTATTATAGCCGTAAATGTTACCCAATAAGAGGGTCTGATCATTAAAAAAAACAACCAGCAAAATAAAATGTCCGTTTGGATCAGTTTCTGACGATATAATTTTTCCATTAAATTTATGTTTTAAGATCAGAGTTCCCGCTGAATGATTTGTGCCATGAGACATCCATAAATCTTCACCCCATTGAGATTTCCAGAAGTTAGCGTCCTTAGGTTCAGAATGAGATTCTTGTAAGAAACAAAAGTCAGTATTCAAACTTTTAGCAAATAAAAACAGAGCTTTCCTTTTGGTATTGTCTCTTAGTCCTCGAGCATTAAAAGAAATAAAAGATAAAGATGAAATTTTGAAAAGTAAATAAAGATTTTACCCTGAGAAGAGTGTGTAAGCTTCAGAGAGAGCAGAACTACTCTGTCTAAAAAAGTGCTTCACAAAACAATTTAGCAGCAACAGCATACTATAAGTCTTCAGAACAATAGGGGAACGAGACCTCGAGGTATATCCACAACTGGGCTGGAAGAGATTTCAATGAATTTCTTTTCTGTTCACGAAAGCACGGGCTCCCACGAAGTAGGCAATTTTCCCTTCCTTACGTGCTTTCTCCACCTGTGGCCATAGTTGGTTGCGCCTCTCGGTCCTCGGGAGAGAGATCTTCTTTGAAATGGAGCTTCCTTGTCTTCAGGTAGTCAGATCGCTTCGCCGCCTTCCAGATGATGTCTCGAAAGTGTCTCATAGTAAATTGCAGGATTATGGCGCGATGCAGTGGTGCAGAAGAGGACTCACGTCGTCGGCCGATTCTGTGGACTGAATCGAGTACCTCCGGGAACTTATCTCGGTGGCCAGGATCCATGTTTTGGCAGATTTCAATAACCTTACTGCGTACATCTTCTTCTTCTTCAGGTAGACCGTGAAGTCGCAGGTTCCATCTTCGTTTATACCGAGACAACTCCAGCACTTTGTTTTCCAGTGTTTGAATTTTCTCTTCTGCTTTATCCACTTTTACTTCAGTATGAGACACTTTTCCTTTTAGCTCTCTGAGATCTTCTGAGATAAAGTTAACAGTAACCTTCAGGTCGCTAATACTCTTCTTGATGTTAGCTCCTTGCTCTTGGATAGCCATCTTGAGCGTCTTAATAATGCTTTCCGCCGTGTTAGTTTCCATCACTCTTTTCTTACCAGGTTTTGACGGGGAGGAAGTAGGAGTAATAAGAGTTCTCTTATTTGAGCTCAGGTTTTTTTCCATCACATACAGCTAGAAGTTTGCACCTTAGGGTTCGTTTTGCTGCTTATAAAGGAATTTTAAGACGGAGCGAGTTCTGTAAAGACCGTTCACAGCGCCGCCATCTTGGGGACCTCTAAACGGAACAGACTTGCATCACGTGACCGCAGCTTCCACGGCGGTCACGTAACGTCACGTGACACGGGAGATAACATTATATTTTATACGCATTAGTTTCAATATAAATATATAACGGACATTTTATTTTTTAAATATATGTTTGTTAAATTATATATGTAAGTGAGTTACTACCCGCTAAACACCAAGCAACTAACCAACCATAGATAACTTCTTTAGATCTAAAAAAAAAAAAAACATTTTAAATTAGCTGACTTACTTTTAAACTTGAAAATTGCCCCCAAAGTAGCTGCCGGCTTCTGATCCGCCGTCCTTTTGGGTAATTTTTGACCAAGGCTAGGCTATAAGACACCTCCCGTGTATCCTCGCTCAGCTAGCTAAACGGCTAACAAACGGAGAACACACGCCTCGGTAGAACATGAACATTGGAACACGTCTTGGCAGTTCCTGATGACGTATCTCCTAGGCAACCGGGGCGGGGCCAAGACATCAAGGCAAGATTCCTTGGCACTGAGAAACATCCCAGGAGTTTTTGTCTTCCTCTTTTTCAACTTTCTAATTTACTTAAAAAGTAGGTCACACAAGGCTTAGACTTTTTGGTTTGCTACGTTTGACCACCCAAGCTGTCTTTATTCGACAACATCAAGGAAAACGGTTTAGATTCTAGCTACTCTTTGAACATACAAATAAAAAAAATCATATTACATATTACAATATTACATTACAAATCAAAAGTAATAAGTCCTTCAAATGATACATTTTCTCTAAAACAAACTGCAGTAAAACTTTTCAAACAGCAGAGTTTGAAACAAAGCGAATCCTCTGGGAGTAAACAACATCAATAAAATACAACACCAGGTTGACGTTTGTGAAGACTGCCACAACCAGTTTACTGTCCCAAGGACATTGTCCGCGGGGACAATCCTCAGGTCGAGTGGTGGTGCCATATTTCTTGTCAAAGCTGAAGATGGGCCAGACCAGCGCTGTACTTAGGTACAGGATCACAGCAAAGAAGGTGTAGACAACCACAAACCGGTCGAATGGGAACCTCAGTGCAGAGGTTCTACCGGACACGGTTAGTACAACAACAATCACAGTGATGGAGAAACACAAGCTGTACACCACAATGCAGTACTGCAAGGCAACATGCTGGGTATATTCACTGTCATTATCTAGAGCCCCAAAAATGATGCAGGCCACAAAACTCTGGACCACCTTGAGTAGACCAGATACGGTAGCCATGTAGCCCACCACAGTTCCTGGTTTTGCTCTTGTTAGGAATACCTCCACTCCATATGGGAAAACACAGATGCTGGAAAAGACCGTGACAACAATACGATAAATTTGAACTTCATAGTCCTCCTCATCAGTTTGGAGGAAGTAAACAGGGTAGACCACAGAGGCAGTGATGTACATGAGCGTAGCCAGCATGGCAAAAGCCACGGTGAAGTTATCCCAAGAAATAGGCATACAAGAGTGGAGCCGTGTGATGTCCAAGGTGAACACAACCAGTGTGACTGCAAAGCAGAAGCACCACACAAACATGCAGAAGGTTCCATAATTTGCACTGTAATCTGCACTGTGGGCCACCAAGGCAATTATAGTGCAGCCTAGCACTAGCTGGCACATCCTTGCTACACCTAAAGGGGATAGCACGGCGTCTTTGTTGAGGTAGTGTCCTCCATGGGAATCCATTGTTGGTGATGCTTCCCAGATGCTGATACTCCCCTCTGTGATATTCTTTGTGCTGGTGCTCTTGTGGCCTACTCTCTTCTTTCACATGGACCTCACCCTTTTCTTGGCTCTCTGTTGAAGATGGTACAAAGTTACAAGTGCCTGTAATTTCAAAGCTTGCTTTGTAATTAGAGCGTGCCAAAGATCGGTTTAAAATTATACAGTTTTGAAGCAGCATAACAAAATGAAAGAAATGCACGAAGATAATTTAGTTTTAAGAAGCCTCATTTTTTCCGTGAAATTAATTATTCAACAGACACATGAGACCGTTTACAAATTTGAGAGTTTTTCTAAATTAATCTAGTGTATGTCCTTAAAAGTCTTGATTTTTCTTTGCTTGCTCTTACCCTTGTTGTCCAGTGTTTCAAAAGCTCATTGAATAAGGTCTAATCCAAATTGTTTTCCTTCAAACGCTGAGTCCAGTCATTAGTCTTCCAACAATAGCTCTCAGTGCCGACAGGTGAACAAGTTCTCCCACTGCCAATCAAGTCCTGCAGTCCCTCAGCAGACCATCAAACTCACTACAGCCTTTCGTCTGGCGACTTCTTGTTTCCTTTGCCTCTCAAATTTAGTTTTTAATTTTTCCCAACTTGAGCAAGGTCATCCTGTTCCTCCTGTGTGTGCGTGTGTGTCTGTGCACTCAGTGGATTTCAGCTGGTGGCTGTTGAAGGAAAGTTTGTGACGACCACAGGGTTACAAGCCTAGCCAGCTCTATAAATAGGGGGTCTATATTACACAGACGGGTGGGAGGCTGCGTGTGGTTGGCAGGATGGGAGTCGCATTTCCAGGGAGCAACCAGTGAGGCTGAGTCAGAGCTTCCTCAGTAAGAAACTGGCATTTATACAACATGTAATGACAGGGAGGGACGTTCAAACGTCCGTTAGAGACATGAATTGCACACGGGTTGAGAGGGATGATTATAGACATGGGAAATCAAATTTAGCCTAAACATGAAAGACGGAGGTGAAAATATGTTACAGCAGAAAACTCCAGGATTATAATCCAATAAAATATTTTCTAGGATTTAAATGTGTTACGTGTCAGGTGATTCTTACTTGAGGCTAATGAAATGATGCAAGACCTTCAAATAGAAAAAAAAATTTTATTCAGTGCATTTTTATTTTTGTTTTTGTAAATTGCCTATTGTGATGATCAGACTATATATATATATATATTTTTTTTTTTGTATATATATATATGTGTGTGTGTGTGTGTGTGTGTTAGTGGTGTGCATCTCTACCTACCTCACGATTCGATACGATTCCGATTATCTGCCTAACGATTCGATTTGAGTCTGAAATGCATCACGATTCTTCACACAAAAAATTTCATTACTTAATAAAAGCAGTAGAATAGTTTTCAATTTATTCTTGATTTCAAAATCCCTGAAAAACAGAACATTCATCTATTCACTATAGTGAGCAATAATTTTAAAAGTGTGCTGCCCAGGTCCGGCTCTAGGTAATCTGGTGCCCAAGGCGAGAGTGCCCATTTGCCCCCCCCCCCCCCCCCCCCCGTGCCCGCACGCCTCTCACCCAAACCCAAGTCCACCCACCCACCGCACATTGGAAAAAGCAACTCCACAGTTATTCCTTAGTTACAATTTTTTATTTTAAATATTCACACAGCAACTCTTTAAAGTCAACAGCCTGAAGAATAAATATAAGCTTGAAAGATAAGTAACCTGAGAATATTACAATAACCAACAACTCAAAATGTTGTGCAAATGTCATTGGGGGGGGATGCAAAATCAAAAGCAACATTAAACTGTGCAATCAAAAGCAAAACTCAAATATCAAAGTGTCATCGTAAAGAAAGTTCTACTTTCCATTTTGTTCTACTGCTGTGGCCAGTCAGCAGGATCCATGGGGCCAGCAGCTCCTACATGTTCACAGACATCTGTTGAAGCTGATGATGGTGTCTCTTCAGGCTGCTGGATTGGAGCACTGAGTCTGCTGGTGTTGGGTTCTTCTTCTGTGAGAAAATAAACACACACACACACACACACACACACACACACACACACACACACACACACACACACACAAAGCAACTTAACCCTCTGATGCATGAATTAAGAACAGCGCCACTTTCACGTTCAGTATTCCTCAGCCATGTGCAGTGATGCTTTTCATTATTTTTAATGTTACTGGACTTTTTATTTTATTGATCTGTTTTTAATCTGTTCTATGAAAACATGAATAAAATGATCAAAAACAGGTGGAAGTGAGTGCATCCATGGGGAATATTTGAAAAAAAAACATGTCTCACTCTCAGGTGCTCTTCAGCATCAAATAAATTGTAGAATATGAAGAAGAAGAACCGGTGATCTGAGGCACTCTGAGGTTTTGATTTATTAAACAAGGAAACACCGATGCGTTGCCGGCGGCAGCGGGGGAGTCCTCGCCACGGCTGCGGCGGTGCCGCCCGCCCGATGTGTCGGACAAAGTTGAAATTTTGCTACACACACACCTAACGTTCTTCTGATATGAAAATATTAAATTCATATTGTATGTGTGATGTTATGAGAGAGTTAATTATTATTGTTCCATAGGGAGAAAGATGTGATGTTATGAGATAGTTCAGAAAGAACTCAATTACCCAGAAGGCAGGGAGTAGATTAGGAGGGAAACTGCATGGATGATACAGTAGTGGTGGCTAGTGCTAAATAAAGATCTGGAAAAGGAGTTTTCACGCCTCGTTTGCTTATTATGAGATTAAGCAAGACAACACATGGTGTCAGAAGTGGCCGTGAGCAAGACGAAGGACAGATTTGCCACGGGGGAGCCGCGAAAGACGGATGTAGAGGGAGAGTCTATGGAGAGCGTGAGTAATGGCGCGCTACAGAGCTACATGCTAAAGACCGGTGCTGCATCGTGTGACGCCCGGGAGCGAGGGTAAAAGTGAAGCTGATCGTGTGTGGTCACTTAGAGCAAACAGAAGAGGAATCGGTGCCTGTGAGAGCAGATAGACAACAGTAAAGAGCTGCAGTGATTGAGATACCCCGACGTGCTGCCATGGATAAGCTAAGCCCGCCCTCATCCATGCAAGTGACTGGTAACCTTGCTGAAAACTGGAAGCGCTTTAAGCAGAGGTTTAATATATATTTGACTGCAAGCGGAGCAGGGGGAGATGATGAAAAACTGAAAGCTCACATCCTTTTGCATGTTATAGGGGAAGATGCATTGGATATATATAATAGCTTTCAGCTGGATGAAGCTGATTTGACTTTGGCTGACGTGATGAATAAATTTGAAGAGTACTTCGTACCTAAACAAAATGTGACCTATGAGAGGTACAAATTTTTTACCCATGATCAGAAGCAGGGAATACCTTTTGATCAATATTTAGCAGAGCTTCACACATTAAGCAAATCGTGTGAATTTGGGACTTTGAGAGACTCGCTAGTAAGAGACAGGATTGTCTGTGGAACTGTGGATAATGCACTGAGAGAGAGGCTGCTCAGAGAGACTGGACTTACACTGGATAAGTGTGTCAGCATGTGCAGAGCAGCGGAAACCACACGAGCACAAGCAAAGGAGCTCCGGAGAGGTGAGACGTCAGTGCATGCTCTAAGCAAAGATGGAGTAATAAAGAAAATATTTACCAAACAAAAGTACCAAAAAGGGAAAGCTACAGAGTTCAGATGTGGTAAATGCGGAAGCAGTCACAGACCAAAATCGTGCCCAGCATTTGGGAAATCCTGTAACAATTGTGGGAAAATGAATCACTATGCCAAATGTTGTAAAGCAGCTCCAAAACAGAAAGTTCACACAGTCGATGAAGAAGCAGAGGATGAGGAGGAGTTCATTGTAGATGAAGTACACACCTCTACATCAGAGAAAGAGGAATGGGTGGTGCCAGTTGAAGTTAATGAGACAATAATTCCATTCAAGTTGGACACAGGGGCCCAGGTTAATTTGGTATCATGGGAACATTACAAAGCTATGACAAAAAAGAGCAAAATGCATCCGGTGAAAATAAAAGTCACTGGATACACAGGAGAGAGAGTTCCTGTTAAAGGTGGATGTGTTGCGACATTCAGATACAAAAAACACCAGATAAGAGCACAGCTGCTGATCGTGGATAAGAGTGTACAACCAGTCCTAGGACTCAGTGCATGCGTAAAGCTCAACCTGGTTAAAAGGGTGTACATAGTCTCCACACCAGAAGCCCCGAATGATCAGGATTCCCTCATGGAAGAATATAAAGACTGTTTCGAAGGACTTGGATGTCTCCCAGGACAACATAAAATATGTGTGGATAAAAATGTGCCACCTGTTGTGCATCCCTGTAGGAAAATCCCATTTGCACTGCGGGAAAAACTAAAAGACGAACTGGCACGCATGGAAAAACTAGAGGTCATCAAGAAAATAGATGAGCCAACTGAATGGGTCAGCTCACTGGTGGTTCTACAAAAGAAAACAGGTGCTCTCAGAACATGCTTGGATCCACGGGATTTAAATAAAGCAATTAAAAGAGAACATTTCAAGCTGCCAACCAGAGAAGAAATCATGGCACAGTTTGCCGGAGCTAAGTGGTTCAGTAAACTAGATGCCTCATCAGGTTTCTGGCAGCTGAGGCTGGACGAGGAGAGCTCTAGACTTTGTACGTTCAACACACCTGAGGGCAGATACAGGTTTCTTCGTCTGCCATACGGCATCTTGTCAGCTCCTGAAGTCTACCACAAGACCATTCATATGATTTTTGAGCACATTCCAGGAGTGGAGACCATGATGGATGACATCATAGTTTGGGGAACCACTAGAGAAGAACATGACCAAAGACTGAGACAAGTACTAGACAAGACAAGAGAAGTCAATCTGAAACTAAACAAAGATAAATGTGAGTTTGGAGTGAAAAAACTTACATTTGTGGGAGATGTTGTCAGTGAGAATGGGGTGAAGCCAGACCCAAAGAAAACGTCAGCAATATGTAACATGGAAAGACCAAACAACAAAGACGACGTCAGAAGGTTTCTAGGAATGGTCACCTATCTGGCAAAGTTTGTCCCACAACTGTCAACATTGTCAGCACCTCTCAGAAGTTTGCTTGAACAAAAGAATGAATGGATCTGGTCCCATGAGCAAGAGCAATGTTTTCTAAAGTTGAAAGAGATTCTCACACAAGAGCCAGTGCTAAAGTTTTATGACCCAGAGAGAAGCACCAGGATCTCAGCAGATGCATCACAACACGGACTGGGTGCAGTGCTGTTGCAGCAACATGAGGAACAGTGGTTGCCGGTAGCCTACGCATCCAGAGCTTTGACGAGTGCAGAGACACGATATGCTCAAATTGAAAAGGAGCTGTTAGCGAGCATGTATGCATGTGAACGTTTCCATCAGTATGTCTATGGCCAAACTTTTGAAGTGGAAACTGACCACAAACCACTGGTGTCCATCATGTCCAAACCACTGAATGACTGTCCAGTACGGATACAGCGCATGCTAATCAGGCTACAGAAATACGACGTTCACATGATCTACACCAAAGGAAAGTATATGTACACAGCTGATACATTGTCAAGAGCAGTGGATAAGGAAGAGCATGAAGACCTTGAGAAAAGTCTGGACATACAAGCGTATGTTGACATGGTGATGACATCTCTGCCAGTATCTGCTGACAGATCAGAACAGATAAAAATAGAGACAAATGCAGATGAAGTCATGAATGAACTTAAGAGTACAA